AATCATGTGGACAAGTTTCCATAGAGATCCACATACTTTTATTAAGAAATCACACAGATTTCCATGTATGTGGAAATCCGCAGGGAATTATGGGTCAAAATTTTTTTTGTCATTTTCGAGATAATGATGTAGTTATATGTGATTTGAGGTGATGAACCTTTTCAGATTAGAAACATACCCATATTTGCTTAATGAAATTTTGTGATATTTTCAATTTTTTTAAAAAATACAAAATTATTAATAAATTTTGACCATATTCTTTCTATATATATATAGTTTATGTAGCAGTCACAAATAGATTGATATAACACACTAGCCAATTAAAATATACAGAATAGAGATTTATTACATATTTAATGAATTTGCATTATTATTATTTTCATTATACTCTAATATTTAAAAAATCATCATTAAAAAAGGAAAGAGTTCACAAAGAATGAATTATCATACCCAAAGTGTGGCACAATGTGAACTAGATCTGCAATTGATTCTATGGGAATTATATCATACTCATTGGTTAATTTTATATATGGACAACCATATTTCATATGCAAATCTTCTGACTTGTATTTAAAGTCAAACCATTGAACTACTGCAAGATCCATTGTTATAGACCCTTCATTTAAACAGAATAATAATAAGACCTATAAAAAAGATGATCAATTTGTATTTTTATTATATTCATATTAATTAAATAATAATTTATGTACAGTACCTTAGCAAAGCATAATCCATCTGCTGTTGCATATGTATCAATCTCATCTATACTCATTTTTATTGCAATATCAGAAAAACAAGGATGATGGTAATGATTATTTTTGGCATATATTTTACCACCAATAGACCAAGTTGCAGAATGAAAGAGTTGTATATGTACACTTTTAGAATCACCCTTAAGCCAAACATTAACTTTTTTCAATAATTGATCCAACCCAAGTAATGTTAATTCATGAGCCCCTTTGTTAAAAAGATTCATATGAGCATTATCAAAATCTGATAATAGGAAATCAATTCCAGGAGAAGTTAACTTGATACTCTTTGTGGATTTTGATTTTTTTTTAGTTACATTATTAAATGGATTCAATAAGTTGAGTATTGTATGTCTACAAATCTAATTTTAAATTTTAATTAAATTTTAGTTAAATTTAAAAATAAAATAAATAAAATGAGCCAAAATTAAATATTTTCTTACTGATCCAATAATCTGAGTATTAATATCATGTTTATTACTTGATCTATATGGTGTTTTAACATAATCTTTATGAAGACTCTCATAGGTTTCTGTAGTCCAACCATTCATTGAACCATATTCACGAATTGATTCATCAACATGATAAAGCCAAGAATGGAGTTTTACTAAACTAAGACCAGATGGTGAATAATTTTGTAATAGATAAATAAATGTTTTTGCCCATGAAAACCTTGCATTCTAAAATTTAAAATAAAAACTTTTTAATTAGAATTAAAAACCATGACAATTCAATATTTTTTATTACCTTAAATTCTTGTAAAGATATTTTTGTATGATTATCATTCCGGCTCATTATATACATAACTATCCATTGACAATAAAGTTGAGTCAACATAATATCCATTTTTTTATTGATAGAACTTAGAATTCCATTAATAGTAAATACAGAAACTTTCATAATATCC